TTGCAAACGAAAAAAATATGGGTTTTTGCAGATTTAGCGCACTGCCTCAAATCACTTAGAAACCACTTTTTAGATAAATGATTTGTTTTAGAAGATGGAACTGTTTTAAATGTATATATTATTAAAGTGGTTTTAAATAAAGATTCAGGAGAAATTAAATTGTGTCACAAACTAAAACCAAATTATTTAATGGTCAAGAGAAACGAGAGACAAAAAGTCGCTCCAGCAGCGAAAACATTATTTTCAAGAACTACCAGCAAAAGGTATACTCCACCTCACAGGAAATAAAAAAGCATTCCGACTTCTTTGAGTTAATCGACAATTTTTTCGATATTATGAATAGTACCAAAGCCATACCCTCCTTCAGATGAAATACTTAAAGCAGCATTTAGATTAAATGAACATCATGAAAAAAAAAAATTCAAGTTTTGGAATTAATGAAGAAAGTCATTGGTGGATTAAGAGTTCAGGTGAAAAGCCAACTTACTGCCTTTCCAAAAAGGAATAATAATTTCAATTAAATTCTCTTTTTGGCCTACACCAGGATTTGATTAAATACTATTCGTATGATGCTAAATATATTTTAACCTCTAGATTAACTCAGGATGCACTTGAAAGTCTCTTTAGTCAGATTCGAGGGCTTGGTAGGTTTAATGACCATCCATCACCTAGTGAAGTTATACGCCGCTTAAAGCAATTAATACTCGCTAATAAGCTGCCAAATTTATCTTCAAAATTATGCATGACTAAAGAAACAGAAAGATATTGATTCATATTTAACATCCGAAATACTTGAAAGGGCTTTGAAAACTGAGGAGGAAGATGCTTTTCCTTTAATATACTATTGATGATTTGGATTTGGATTTCATAGAGGAACCTTACTCCTATGGTTTGGGAATTAGAATTGAATTCCGATAGACAATTTTCGACCAGCCGAAAAAGAAGCATTAACATATGTTGCAGGTTATATTGCCTATCATGTGCGAGACAAAGACCCGTCATTGGGAACAATATCTAAAAATAGTTGCTGATGAACCAATATTTAATTCAGAATGGATTAAATTATTGTCCTTAGGAGGTTTGACTACACCTTCTCATTCATGGATGAATACAGTTTATGAGTTCGAAAATATATTTTGTGCAGTTCATGGTACAACTTACTATAAAGGGAAGCATGTAATTGGCTCTTTAATTAATAAACTGGAGAAATATTATCATGAAGTTAACAGAGAAGCAATTCGTTTATTTTGCAGAGTGAGAACTTTTATTAGAATACGTTTCTTAAATAGAAATGCATATGTTTTTCCCAAAGAAAAGCAACCCAAAAGGCAAAAAAAAAAAAAAAAAAAAAATGGATTGCTTCGAATGTGGCAGCCAATAAATAATGTTTCAACAACTTTTAGTTGCATTGCGACTGTACAAGTAATCATATATAATACGTTTTGATTTGAAATATTTCTAGATGACATTTTAGAAGTTAATAGCGTAAAGCATATTTCAAATGAGAACTAATTCTGTTAAGTTATTGTTGCAGTTATTTTTATTGTATCCTCTGTTATTATTGATTCGATTTTGTGCTAGCTTAGCATTCTAGATAAAATATATATAAAGGATAATATTAAAGTAATTGGCATAAGAAGACCTGCCCCCTCAACCCCCACTTTTGAAAATAATTATTTTAGGTCCTGTGAGTAAAGTTGTTTTGTCTAAATTAAGATAACAATCTTACATGTATTTATTTAAATGAAATATTCATGTAAGCCTAAGTTACAAAAATATTTTTTAAAAAATATATGTTATTATATTGAATCGGGAGAAAAATATGCCAATGTAAAATTTACAATTAGACTGAAACTCAAACTTAGATTAGCAGAAATTTTGCCATATACGTTTAAATATACATGTTTAAAACTATGCCAATTTAAGGTTTTTTTATTATTAATTTTAAATAGCTGTTATTATAGTTATTTTAGAAGCAGTAGTGCAGTTCTCTTAGTTAACATGCAGATAAAGAAATGATTAAAAACAAACAGGCATTTAAAGAAAAAAAAATCCCTGCAAATAAAAAAAAAAGGAACTTAATGCTAAGAGTAGCGCATTTTATCTATTATTTTAAAATTAAGTACTATTAAATTTTTTAATGTTCAGTGTAAAATGCATACTGCAGTAACATTGTCTCTTCCAAATTATAGCTATCTTTCACACACAGCTCATTTTAAACGCTGGTTCTTCAAATTTAAAACGCTAATTTCTATGTTGTCAATTGCATCTCCGCGCTCAGTGGCATCATTGCTACGTCATCACTTCTCGCTGCCTGTTTCAGGGGGAACCGCTCTATGAGCTAGCCCTTCTCTTTAGTCCTGGTCCCGTAGCTAAATGTCCTGACGTTAATTCTTTGTGTCGGCTAAATGTCCTGTCGGTTAACTGTCCGTGTCGGCTAAATGTCCTGTCGGCTAACTGTCCGTGTCGGTTAAATGGCCAGTCGGCTAAATGTCCTGCCGGCTAAGTGTCCGTGTCGGCTAAATGTCTTGTCGGCTAACTGCCAGTGTCGGCTAAGTGTCTGTGTCGGCTAAATGTCCTGTCGGCTAACTGGTGTCGGTTAGGTGTCCCGTCAGCTAAGTGGTTGTCGGCTATGTGTCACGAACCCAATTTGAAGAAGTATTATACATAACAATAAAAAATAGCACTTTTTTGTCATGTACAGTTAGTTATTCTCTATGGTTTCAACTGCAATGAATACATATGCATAAAAATATTTTGCTTATAATTTTTCCAGACTTTTTTGTCTTTGTGTTGGAATAACGTTAGTAACGTTTTCCTATCTATTATCGTAAGCTTTCACTGTTATCGGTAATTTCTCGCTTATCGAAACTTTTGAATCTTATACTACAAATGGCAGGAAAATTACGAATAACGTAAGAACAGCAAGCACAAAATGAAAATTAAGATACGCACTGTAATAATTAACTGATAACTGTAACCCAATAGAAGAATATCATGACTAAGTGTAAGATTATTTCTCCACAAAAAAATTAATTCTGTGATTCTAATAGTGACAGTTCTAAAAACATACTATAAAATGCATTATTACCAAAATAAATAAACAAATAAAATATATGAGTGTAAAAAGAAGGCTCAACGTATTTAAAATTATTTTTGCTCTCAGTTTAAATCTCAAAATTTATTGTTATATGACGAGAAATAGAAAGAAATGAATTTTGGCTTTAACTTGTCATAGCTAACTGCAATTAAGTACATTATTGAATTTCTTCATGCTCCAATCCAATGGCAGATCCAGCAGTAGCCCATTCGGCTTTAACTAGTCTTCTTGTTGGGTAGTGTCAAAGGCTCATTGGTATGAAGAAAAATAAGCACCTAGATGCCACCTAAGACATGAAAAATCTAAAATTATAAGTAACTGGAAGATATGGAGTGAAGGAGACCAGAAATATTTTCCTGTTAAAAAAAAAAAAAATATCTGTGGCTTAATAAATCTATCTGGTGTATAAGGTATTTTGCCCGCCTACTTAGCATGCCTTCGTAGTGTAGTGGTCAGCACGCTATGCGCGTATTCCAGAGGTCCGTGGTTCAATTCCCGGCGAAGGTGTTGCTCATTTTTGTATCTCTTCTGCTTCAAAAATACCTAACATCTCTACAGTGGCGCCCGAACTAAAAAGGGGGGTGGATGATGATTCTCCACACCCAGGATTTGGAGATTGGTACCCTAAAAATCCCAGTTGGGCTTTAAAAAGGGGAGTATATAAGGTATTTCTCCCGCTTTCTTAGCATGCCTTCGTAGTGTAGTGGTCTACACGCTGGGCGCTTATTCCAGAGGTCCGTGGTTCGATTTCCGGCTAGGGCGTTGCTCATTTTCCATCTTTCATGCTTCGAAAATAACGTAATGTCTCTACAGTGGCGCCTGAACTGAAAGAGTGGTGGATGATGATTTTCCACACTCAGGATTTGGCGATTGAAACCCCTAAACGCCAGTCGCCCTTTAAAAGGGGGGAGTATATAAGATATTTCTCCCACCTTCTTAGCATGCCTTCGTAGTGTAGTGGTCAACACGCCGGGCGCGTATTTTAGAGGTCCGTGGTTCGATTCCCGAAGGCATTGCTCATTTTTTATCTTTCCTGCTTCGAAATAACCTAATGTCTCTACAAGTGTTCTCCAGAAACGTCTATTAATGTTCCTAATGCCTGGAATTTAAAAAAAAAATCTGTAAGCCTGATGACGGTATCCCTGAAAAAAAGAAAAATCTGTCGTTAAAAATAAGTTTTAATTAAAAGCTAAAAGTATTAAATTTTAAACTGAAAGCTTAAAGCATTATTCACTTGAATGTGGTGAACTGAAATAGTATTCTATGACCTCAGGCTAAGTCTGTTCTATAGGATGAGAAGATAAAAGATGATGTTGAAATTATTGCGCTGATGAGTCGTAATACATCAGATATAAGCGCGGTAAAAAAGTAATCAGATGGTATCACATATCTTATTTAAATGTCGTATGCTGATTAAATATCTGCCATCTTGTACTGATGTTTCAAAGCTTTTAGTTTTCTGTTTTTTGGAGAATATTTTCCACACTCTCATATGAATTACCTTAGATTTTATCATTCTTTACTTGTATTTTTTATTTGATATATATTTGTATGTTGTTTATTTGATTACTTTATTTGTATATTTTTTATTTGATTACTTTATTTGTATATTGTTTATTTTATTACTTTATTTGTATAGTCTTTATTTGATTACTAAGTTACACTTCTGTGTATCCTCAGTTTTATCTCTCATACTTTATATAGATGTGCATTGGTTTCAGCAGTACTTAATTTGAAATTTTGTATACATGATTGTTAATAAAGCCAAACATTAATCTACTATTTTTCTTGAACATCTAAGTTTTATCTCTTATTCGAACTAAAATTTTAAGATATTTTATTATGTTTCCATACATTTAGAATTTAAGAGAAAAAAAGGAAATATTATGTATTTTTATCACTAATTTAAATGTATATTTTTTAGACTGCTGATGCTGGAGATGACGTCGTAAACAAATTATCACTTGTGCTCAACACTATACCTCTCATATCAAACATTTTTTCATTTTTCATGGCTTCTGTCGGAAGTCTTTTGGTTCTAGCAGCATTTATACTTTCACTCCTGTATGCATTAGGAAAGGTAAACATATATATTTTCATTCAGATATCCATACAACCTTGCTAATTTTATAGATAAGAACTCACAATTCTAGTAAAATGTCAGTGTGTGGATTATTTTTACTTCGGCAGCTATTTTAAAACATAACAGAAAAGTCCTCTAATTTGAAAGAAAACTATATTGTCGTAATTGTTTTAGGGATAACATAGCGCATGTCGGTACCGATGTTTTACTCTGTGTAATTACAGTTGTTAGATTAAATTCTATTTACATCTTGTATATTTTTGTAATTAGTATTAAACTACTACAAATAGCAAATTCTTTGAGATTTTTCCTATACTGATAATGTTGCTTTAAAAAATGAAATATATATATATATATGTGATGCACCAGCTTTTGTCCGGAATAAATAGATTGGTGAAGAAATATAGATGTAGTCGTAGCTTAAATTATCAGACGATAAGTTTAAAAAACAGGAATTTATTATTGGTCAGGAGAAATAGCAGTTACAAAATCATATTTCCGGAGTAAATAAAAAAAGAATTAATAATAACTTTTTGTATGAAGTTTACTGCATCGTTACATTAAAGAAAAGACCCCGATATTCCTTTGCGAGTCTTTTTACAGCCTCTGGAAAGGCGGAGCTTCCAAGAAATGACGTCAGCCATTCCAGTTCGCTTTAAATATCTCCAGAACATTCTATAACTGTACGTGTAGAAAAGGCGGGAAAAACAACTTGACTACGGGGCTGTGAATTTAATCCCACGTACTTTCAAATAAGAGACCGTCGCCATTAAAAAGGAAAAGAACATACAGTTAGAATTTTAAGTGTATTCTTGACTATGGAATATTATTATTACATATATATATATACGAGCAGGGGGAAAACGTAATCAAAATCATGAAATGAGATGAAAAATCTATTTACTATTATTTTCTTTCTTTATTTAAGCAACTTATTTATTTAAGTACTTATTTTTATTTTTTTTTTTATTTATTTAAAGTGAAGACAATTTATTTAAGTACTTTTCCCCTGCTTGATATTGAAGCTTTTACATAAAAAGTTAACGTCTCTGTTTACATTAATGTTAATTTTTCGTAACTCATGCAAATAATTCACGTAAACAAACAAAAAAAAAAAAAAAAAAAAAAAACATATGATTTTTAGGTTGTAAGAGACTTCGTGAATGCCCGCAAAGGCGCTCTATTTGCAAAAATAAACCATGTGGGGGGCGGGTTGTTTCAAGTCATGGTGTCATCTGACCCTATATTATCAAAGATTATTATGGTAACACAGCAGCATTAACAGCTAAGCAATACAAAGAGCTGGTCATAGTCCGATTTCATGCTGACTTACAGACATTTTGTGATCTGCATGATCGTCATTTCAACCAGGACGTTTTTGAACAACAACGAAGTCAAGACCCACATAAGGCCAAAGAAATAAAACAATATTACAAGAACTTTTTCCGGAATGACTTGTTTCAGGGGAACTGATTTTCCTTTTCCTCCTAGAAGTCCAAATCAAATTATATGCGATGCTTTTATATGGGAATGCTTAAAAGAGAAATGTTTTACACCCGTTCCATGAAAGAACATTCAATCAGTAATTGGGGATATAATAACTGAGCAGTGTTCCCGTATGTTGTCAGCAATCCTAGAGAACATGGAATATGTACTTACCCAAGACGGACAACACATAGAACATGTTGTTGTTAGATAAGCATAAATAAATTAAAAATACTAGATTTTAGATATCGTTTATTTCCCCTTCAAATTGGCAAAAACTGCAAAAGTTTTTATTTTTTATTTATTTTGTTATGAATTTTTCTTTTAATAATTTATTTGTGGATATTGTTCTAAAAATATCTTAATAGTAACAAAAATAACAAAACCATTATTACAAAAGTATAAGTACTTGGTAGCTTTCATATCACTTTAAAAAAATTTTCGATTAAAAAAAAAAAGAAAGAAAGAGAACTTATTTCCAATGACCATTTTTGACAATTTTTTTCCTATAACAGAACAATACCTGTTGCAAACGTACTATATCGCACATTAATATATTATGCTTCATGTCATGAAAGCATTCCGCTGCCTGCATCATAACACTTTTTAAGGCTTTGGGATATGTTATACAATTTTTTCTGAATTTATTTAGATTAATACAAAGTATCCATTATTAAATCACAAGATAGCGATATTAAATTGAAATGTAATTTTAAGAAGTAACAGGAAATAATTAGCTCGATATAATCTTTAGTTTAAGGAACTTTGTTTATTCTAATTTTTGGAAACGGTAAAAGGATGTTTAGAGACAAAAAGGCGTCATGCAGTGAAAAAGTAATGTGCGTTCTCTGGTTATAGGAAACGAAATCTTCGAAGCGAGTTTAGATGAGATTCCAACATGAATTTAATAAACCTCCAGCAACGGAACAATCAATTGAAAGATGGGTAAAACTGTTTCGAGAGCTCGGACATGTTTTGTAAACAGGAAGTGCGGGTAGGCCAAACGTTAGTAATATGTTTCCACCATTCGAGATGTGTTTGTATGCAATCCCAGTAAATCCATTCGCCGTGCCAGCCTGTAAACAGGAATTCCCAGGTCAAATGTTCGTAAAGTTGTTCATGAACGGTTGAAACTGACTGCGTCTAAATTGCAGATATGGTAACAAATCAAGCCTAACGATCAAGGAATCATCTGTAGACATTCTTGACCGTATCAGTAATGATGATCATTCTCTTCAGAATATCGTATTCAATGAGGAAACAGCATGAGGAGAGGTTAATTGGCATAACTGGGTAGGATCTGGACATCAGAAAATCCGCATTTTGTAAGGAAAATTGAGCGACGTAACCTTTAAGTTAACGTTTAATGCGCATTAACTCATAACAAAGTGATTGATCAATTCTTTTCTCAGAGTCATCAATTGATTCGAGTGATTACTTCTATATGCTAAGATTGTTTTCGGTACCGCAATCAGAAGAAATGCAGCCAAACTTTTTTTTTTTTTTTCCAACAGGATGGGGGCCCGCTGTTATTGGGCTACCCATGTACATGCTCCTTGATGAAACATTCCCAGATTATTGGATTCATATAGATGAACCAATTTCATGGCTACCCCAATGTCCGGACGTAACACCACTGAACTTCTTTTTTCTGAGGATGCTGGAAAACCGAGTTTATGCTGCCGAAATTTGTAGCATCGATGAATTAAAAAATCGAATCACCGCAGAAACATCTACTGTGACTCTGCAAATGCTTAATAACTTCTGGAGGGAAATTGAGAACAGACTTCGTATTCTCCTAGCAACTAACAGTGCTCATATTGAAATGTACTAATATAAAATTCTTTAAAGTGCTAAATAAAATTCAGTCCGCCTTTTCCCCCCATCTCTAATTATGTATTATTTAAAAGATATCTTTATTCGGTGAATAAATTATGAAGGCCTTGTATAATTAGCCTTCATTTCTTATATTCCTACTTTCTGGGTACTAGTTTCCTTATATATTTCCGTTTGTTATTAGAATAAATAGTGATTTGTACATACTATATTTAACAAAAGATGGGCTTGAATACTGCTATGTTAAGGTTTTTCTGATTTAGAGAAATCAACACTGTATTCTATAATGAAATCATCTATTCTTTTTGGAGGGAATGACTATAAAGAAACAAGTAAAGCAGCGTAACACTATTTTGTGGTAGTTCAGTGCTTGCGAAAATCTGCGTCTCAATAGTTTGATTTGTCGTTATATAAATTTTTCTTAAGCACAAAAATATCTCATATAGTTCGCATGTCGGCTTCATAAGAAGAGCTTCTGCAAATTTTAGCTATTAATTAAATTAATTCTAGAAATACTAAGCTGAAAATAAGTGAGCGTGAAAGGTGGGAAATATAAATGTGAATAATAATAATTAATTTCACAATATTACATTAATTACCCAGTGTATTTATAAGGAATAGGACTGAATGTTTCTACTGGATCCCACTTAACTTGTTAAATAATAATTGAGAGATATAATTAAAATATGTATCATTTTCTTTAAAATATTATCTTATTATTTAAAGGAATTTAAACAGAATTTTTGTTTGAATTTAAATACCTGATATGATGTTATAGATTCAGAGGCTGAAAAATGGAGCAAAATAAGAACTTATTTAAAACAGGAAACAGAATTTACAAATATTTTAAACAGTTTATTACTGAATGCCTATGTTAAAATTTTACTTCTAATTCTGAGGTAATTCGATAACAGTTTGGTTCATAAGAGAAAATGCTCTTCCGCCAGCGAGGCTTGGAATAAGGAGTGTGTTTGTGAATTTTTGGTTGGTAGGGAAATTTTATCACAGAATTTTGCTTGTAGAGGAAGAGAATGTAGAAAAATATAATAGACTTTTCACATAATACAAAACTGAATTTTAAGATTTTGACTGTAAAGAAAGTATAACTTTTACCAGCCATCCCCTTATTTTCCCGTTTTGCAATCTTGTAGATTACTTTCTATTTGATAAAATTAAAGAACACAGCTTGGACAGCATAAACTTCTCGAAAGAAGAAAACAGCAGTTCCATAAATGGCTTATACCTAGGGTAACCAGCAAACCGATCGCGAAGAGATTTTGTGGTTTAGCAAAGCCGGCAGGAGGTGATTTGGTTGATCTTTACATTATGGTAACTTCGCAATTTTTTGGCGAAAATTTGGCAACCAACTCTCCTACAGCAACCCTCTATTTTTTTTCCCCCGCCGCCATTTTGTCTTCACGAAGTAAAGACATGTTTCTTTTCTTCTTATCTACTGAACACTTCTTCCAACAATCTACTAGCCGAATTACACTTATGCTAGAAATTTTATCAAACAAAACTGCTTAATCATGACAAATATTCACTGCAAAATTGGGAAAAAGTGCACAATACCATACTCCTTACGCGTTTTTCAAAATAACACATACACATAAACCATGTACACGCCGACTTATTTTTACTTAAAAAAACATCCCAGAATTGCACAAAAATGGCATTGCGCACACTCTTCACTATATCCATGTACACTGCTTTTTTCTCATAAATTAGAAAAATTTCACGAAAATACATGACAATTTTCTCAATCTTTAAACCCGGTAAAAGAACATATATGAAATTACCTGATCGCGAAAAAGTATTTACCCTTTACAAATATGAGCATTTCCACATATAAAATAAATAAAATATCCAAAAACTTTTACCTCTAAATCATCTATTACATTATACACGTCACCAACGAATTCATACCGCAAGCATTACAAATACTTAGTATCAAATATTTAAATTATTTCCATGCACGTTTATTTCAACTTAAACGTATACCAAATTCCTACAAACATAAAATTCACAAAATAACTATCATTTCATTAAAATAGAATTAAATTCAGAACACTACTTAAAATATAAATGAGCACATACATTAAATTAATAAAAATTACCTTACAATCCTAATTACTTTAAACTAAATCATTGCTAATAACAATTTTCCCAATAATACCAAATTCCTTTCCACCTTACATTTAGAACAATGCATAAAAATAATATCCTCAAATAATTAAATAATTAATTACTGAAAAGGGTAATCAGGAGAGGCATTTTTTTGTCTTTACATGACAAATATCAAACAGATTATCTGCAGAATAGTGACTTGAAGCCATATTTTAGCAAGAAAAAAAAGTGTAAACTATTTTCTTACGGGAAATTTATGAAAAACTTCCTTGGAAATGTCAGATTAACTTTTTGATGAAATACAGACGCAGAATGAAAATCACGAAAGCAAAACTGAAAATATTGCTGAAAATTTAAGGTTTACAATTGTCTCGAAATATTGTGATGCAGTGATACGAGAAAATGGGTGAAAATATATAAGAGAACAGTTACCGTATTTCCTCTCGTATTTTTCCTCTTAACTTATTAGTGCTAGGTTCTGAAGTTTTTTTAAATTATTCGCATAATTTCCCCCTTCCTCTATTGTACATACTTTTTTTCTCTGAAGGCTAGTTTATCGGTAATTTGTATTCCAGTGGTTATTTTTATTATTATTCAGTGTGTTCAATTTTTATAATTATTTTGTATTAGCATTTCATTCATTTTATTTTTTCTTGCTTTTATTATTTGAAATGTGCAGATTCTTCGCTAAGCTATCCGGACGTAGGAGGTGTTCTCACACTTAAGAATCTTTCCAAACATGGAATTTCACCTAACTTCTATTATTTAAGTCCAAGCTGATTGTAGTCCAAGCTGCAGCTGATGTGTTCAACCTTTTAAAATCCGGATCTTCTATTCGCTCCCTTCTCCTTTGTTTCTCCAGTATTCCTCTTGAGAATTGCAATGCAAGGTAACCGAACCCTCCAGCTCAGTTACCATCAGATACCCGGCAGATATAGGCTCAATATCCTTCCGATATTATTATGTTAATATTACTGTGTATTCTTATCAGAATGTGCGTTTTCTTTAAGGAAATAATATTCTGACAGTTATCAGCAACTTATCCATGGCTAGTTTTCATTCATGTTCTTATTGCAAGTATTCTTCTTCTGAAATTAAATTACTCTCCTGTCGATTTTCAGATGATAAAACTAATAAAAAAAGGAGAAAAAAGTGAAGAAATATGATATATAAAGACATACTCTTCTTTTCCCCTTCAGTTAAAGAATAGGCAGACGTAAGTGAAAAGCGTAGTTGCTTATTACTGTTCGCATAGTTTTTAAAGGTTATATAGCAAAGGAGAACTGTTGGTATGATTTCTTTGAAAGAAATAATTAGAGATGTAGATAAATTCACTTTTCTGAAAACTCACCACATGGGAACTCCCATTTCTCAAATTAGTTTCAATAACAACACAGCAACATCAGCAATGATAACATAATTAGCAATGATAGGTTGCATAAATGAATGTCTTAAAAAATCTGTGTAAGTAGCATGTGTAAATTATGCAGTTCATCATTTTTCAAATAAGTTACAATATAGATGACAGTTATCTCTTTCGCTCTCTCTCTCTATGTCTCATATATGATTTTTCGGCTTCCGAAAAAATAATGTGCACACTTAAATTACGCATTTTGTTGTATAATAGAGATTTCATTGCATTTCACCCCTAAATTCTCAAATTTTAATTATATATTAGGGTAAGAAGCGAAATATCTCAGCACTGTTTTTGTTTTCGATTAACATTTCTAACTATGCTCACTTTTAGATTCAAGACCGGCCAAGAAAATTAAGCAAAGAAATTTTAATAGGAGAAGAGAAATAATAGTCTAGAAATGAGGTAACTTAAAATCTGCGTTTTGTTTTGTTTGTTTTTGCACGTTTATTTAGAAAATACGCTTAACTTCTTTAAAACAAAACTGTCCAATACGTGCTAGGAAAAGATAATTATCTGTAATGTATCATTTATGTACTTTTGCCTTTGTCTGGCTATGTCAGAATTATGTTTGTAGTAATAAACTCCTGATACGAGGTTGGACACAATTCCTGCTAACCTTTTGTAGCCACCAGAAGTATCCGCTTTCCTTCATCTGTCACCTGTTTTTGTTCGTTTTTTTCCTTCCACGAAGCTAATCTGTTCATTTTGATTGTAATGTTCTGTGCGTTTTGCATAATTATGCGACTTTTTATGTTTAATTTTGAATTTCCTTACTTTTATACATAGTATGAAATGTGTGTGAAATATAATTAATGGCATAATGAAAAACTAAGCAGAATTTGAATTTCACCGATTATGTACTTAAATTGATGTGCAACTCTTACATCTGATACACCCTGAATTACTTCCAACTTGTCTTTTTAAACACATGCAGATACTGATCGTTATGATACACTCGTTAGATTTCTGAAGTTATTAAAAGTCATTAAATTTTCTACATTTCTTCTGCAGTCATATAATTGTCTTTCTATTGTGTAGTTAGGTAATCAGATTGTATTATCAGACTGTGTAATTTAAAGGTATTTTAAAAGAGTTTTTAATAATTTAATCTTTAACCATTAAGACCATGTGCTATTACAGCGTTAGCTAATTTCTGGTGGTTATACACGATCATTTTGGGAAATTTTAAAAATCTACACGTAAGCAGGTTTGGATTTTCTAGCTCGTAATCAGCCTAATTTCCGTTTTTCTTTTAACTTTACAGAAACAGATATACATAGATCTGTGGATTCACTAAGAAAGCGAAATTTTGTGACATTATCATCGAAATCATGTTTCAGATCTAGGCTAAAAGAAGTTGTTGGTGAAGCGGAAAAATAAAACACAGGACTTCAAAACCTGAAAGATTTTTCAGATGAAAACAAGAGACATTGTCAATAAAGATTAAAAAAAAAAAAATAGTCTTCAAGGCCTCTGTGAATGTAATATGAAATTCTATGATCCTGAGAGCCCACAATTATTTTTAGATTATTTGCAACAGTTTCAGAAAGTCGTTATATAATAAAAACACAAAAGGTTCCCTTCTTTGCTTTACGCTTTTGTACATCCAGAAGTAGCTGTACCTTAAAAATATTTACTAGCCTTAAAATAATTTACCTCCTTCAAATTCATCTCAAAATAAAGCCTCAACAAATATTGCATTTAAAATTCATTATAAATATCAGTATATTTTACAATACTGTAAGAGCTTTTGAAGCATGGTAAATGCTTATTTTTTGTGCCGTTTTGTATTCAGAATCAACAACACGAAGCTTCAGGAATCCATCAGTCTTTAAATTTATATGATTTACAACGCTCTTCAAAATTTTAAGATACAGACGGAAATAAAAACGAACTGTTACTTATTAAAGAGTTGTTAAAAATAATTTGTGCAAAAGCATTGTTTAGTATAAATTACCATTTCATTAATTTCAAAATATTGAATTGGTCAAATTAAATCAAAATAAGTCAAAGTTATATAAATTTAAAAATGATGAAAAAAAATACCTTCCCTCTTTTAAACAAATACTTATTTAACATGGTATACTGTCAAATCTGACAGAAATCCAAACCTCACATCTTGATTTCACAGACTTTAACTAATTGCTGTTTAATCATGCTGTTGTTTGTCAAATTGTTCTACAAAGCTTGATAAAGACTTGTGAAATTATATGCCATTCTTTTGAAATTGGAACTTCCGCCGAGAAACAGACTCGCCGAGGACTTTACAGAAACTGGAGTTCCACCGAGGTATTTAGACAAGCTCCAGTTCGGCGACCAACGGCATCCCACCCAACTTCAGTCGGGTTCTAAATGTGGCAATAACCTGACCAATCTATTCGAGTGATATCTTCTGTTTCTCAAATATTCTGACATCAGAGATGATCAGTTGGGTTGAGCAATGTTATTCATTTGCCGAAACATCTAGGCAGAACGCAACCCTAACCAATTTTATATTGGGGCTTCAAGACAACGTGCACATATCTGTTAACGATTACAATACTTCCATCAAAGATATGCCGCTTGCTGTCGCCATTTTTTATGTTTCTTTCCAAACTGAAACCACTTACCTGCAAATGTGATCTTTCATAAATATGGGAAGGCAAGTCATGAGTTCTTATCCCTTCAGATCAAACCATGTCTGGAATCACAGTTCAAGCTATTTTTGGATTCGTCAGTACACAGTATACTGCCCTCCATTCCCTTTGGCTTCATTGGACACAAATGACAATACTATTTCATTGCAGACCGCGTTGAAAGATGAACGAAGCGGGACACATACTGCTGGTTTTCTCCTCAAAAATTTTACTTCGTATAAAAATATAATGCTTAATACCAGTTTCTGTGGCAGCCTTAAAATTTTAAACACATTTCTCTTGCAATTGCTTCACGGTTTCAGTAAACCAATATTGACAGAAAATGGTCTTCGAACGCAGTTGCTGCTCTTGACCGGCTTTTATCAAGTTACCTGTTAACTGATAAAGTCTGCTAGAGTTCTCTGCAAGAGTTAATAAAAAGATTATTTATACCTTCTCAGAACTTCGAACTTTCCACAAAGATCATTTCTGGTAACAATAACATTTCAAAATTTATGAGGACACAACACGTAATGAGGAACAAAAACTATGATCCTAATAGTTATTTTACTTACTAATACTCAAGGATAAGCATCTGAATGAACTCAATGAATAAGGTTCAGTAGAAAAACAGTATTATTATTAGTGTTAGTAGACAGCCTTTCATCAAGTTGCCTGCTAACTGGCAGTGTAGCAGTAAAGACTTTTAGGGACACACTGGATAAAATTGTTAATATATAAATACATAATGATTTATTAATTATTCATACATTATTCATAAAAAACATAAAATAAAGATGCTTAAATCTCTTTTAGTTAATAAGAAACACATTACATATCTATATACAGGGTGGTTCAAAACTATATGTCAAAAATATAAAGGCAGGTAGAGAGAACCTAAATAAACATATTTCGTATATGAATGTGCGTGCGGTAATGCCGCGTTGAGCCGGTAGAGAGCTCTGCTGAGTACGGCGTATAAAAGTTGGATTCTTCATTTTCCGCACGGATCTCGAGCAACATGCATCGTTACACCAATGCGGAGCTTGCTGACGCGCATTTCCTGTATGGGGTTGCACAAGGAAATGGATTCGCTGCTTAAAGAATGTATAGGGAGCGATTCTACAGGGAGGTCTTACCTGAAATTTTGGTCGATGTTCCTCCAGCTGTTCGTAGACGAATGTAGTTCTAGCACGATGAAGGTCAGCTCACTTCAGCCGGAACGTCAGGAATCGCCTGGACGCTGTCTACGGCCAGCATTGGATAGGACTTGGGAGTGCCAGTTCAATGGCCACCCGTTCTCCTGATTTAACCTGCTTGAATTTCTTCTTTTGGGGTCAAATTAAAGGTCTCGTGTCCCGTCACATCTGCAGAAAATCTTGTTGCTCGCTTGTCTGTTGCTGCTGGACATGTGCTCAACATGCCCGACGTCTTTCCTAATGCACCCCACTCCATGCGCCGCTGCTGTGAATCGTGTATCGCTGTTGGTGGCCGCTCTTTAAACCACCAATCGTAAACTGTTAATATTTTTTCTTTTGTCTTTACTTTTCTTTTCAGTTTTTTTGTAATTCATACTGTTTTACGTGCTAGCTCTTTAATGCGGCATTACCACACACACATTCCTAAACGAAATCTGCTTATTCAGGTCCCCTCTACCTGCCTTTACATTTTTGACATTTTGTTTTGAACCACCCTGTATATATTATTTGAAATGTTCGTTACAGTAGAATAGTAATAGTTTGTAATAGTACAATAAATGAATATTAAAATCTCAGCTTCTTATTTGTCCTTTCTTTTCAGAAAAAGCCATCGTACTTAGAAGTGTCTACGGCAAAATGAACATTATGATCTAATGCTAAAATGAGTTAAAAGCAAAGTACCTGAAAACTATGAAACTTTTTGTGTTTGTTTATAATATTTTGTTTAAAAAATTAATAAAATACAATTTATATTTTACTTGCGGTATATTATTGTGTTAACATTTTACATTTATTCTTTCATAAGTTTAGGAATTCTAAATCCTTTACCTTTTCGACATGTTTAATATTCAATACTTGAAGTACACGATTAGCTTTCTCTAATCTCTAATATTTAAAGTTTAGAATATAAATATGGAGAATACGAAGAGCTCCTTTTTAAGTTCCTTTCAAATGTGGAGTATCATAAACACTGCAGTATATTATTGAACATGAACATCTTTAAGAACGTTTCCCACGATATGAACTGCGTAATAATTTTTGCCGTTACACTTTTCCTAGTCAGTTTCCAATATTTCCATTTCTTTTTTCTACTCTTCCTATATGAAGAGAATTTCGACTCCTACAAGTTGGCAGCGCGTCGATACATACAAGCTTAAAAAGTGTTCAAAAATTCATCTCAATATTTCGGACCAATTTGAACATCAGTTTATTTGCATAATAATCTCTGTTCATTATTCCGTCTTAAATGTGATACTCCTTGGAAAGAACTCTTTCGAAACAGCAAAATTGCTTTTAGGAATCTTATGCTCAGAAGTATACCCTTTTATTGTCCTTTTCTCATTTTTATTTTCTTTTAATTCCGTTTATTTTCAAATTTACTTTACCTACCATGCTTTTTGCATGTCTTTCCTTTAAGCTTCTGTCAATCTTTTATGCTCTTTATACTTTCACTAATTGATTTACAAGTTTTTATTCTTAAGAAACATTTTTATGCCTCGTTTGTTGCCCATAAATTCCCTGAGTTGGGGTGTCCTTATCTCTGTCTTTTTTATTATTATTTTTATTATACACGCAAACTATGAAATTACTAACTTAAGCCCCGTTCACAAGAGCAGTTTCGAGCGGTAGCGAAAACCGGTTCTTCCAACTTGTCCCGTTCACATGGAACAAGCATTCACTGCCTCGCCGATTTGGAGGTAGAAGTTGGTTGAATGTTCCTTACCTCTCGGGAGCAGGGCAAATGGGGAGATTTCCCGTACTATACTGCGCGGTTCACTGTCAGCTGTCACTGGACAGTCAGCGAAATAATCGCGCTGATAGATGTCTGGGAGATGTGATAGCATCCCCTCAAAATTAGATAGAACTGTACAAGATACGGAAATTATAGACAAATACAGACAAACGTTATCTGATGCTAGGTATTCCAGAAATATCATTCAAATTAAAACTAAAGTTAAGACAAGTGCATATCGGCTTCAACGGGACAAGGGACTCGGTACCTTTTGAATGATTTTTTTTAAAAAAAATTAAGCATTTTCATCTACTTTTTATGAATATTATTAAATGGTTTTGTGAGACAAAATAATTTTAAGCTGAAAAAAAGTTTTTGCTAGTAATTTTTTTAATTTAAATTTTTGAAGAGAAAAATTTTACAATTAAAATGTCTTTCTTCTCCTACAATTTTCAATGTCTCCCCCCCCAGTTTTTTTATTGTATTCGTATTTATTAGAGTGTTATTAATAACTTCAAGGAATAATTTTGCAATTAATGAATTAGTTTCTGAGAAAAAATAAAAATAAACTTTTATCTAAAATCTTTAAAACAAATATGATCTCAGTCACATTTTCATTTCAAATAATTTTTCCTTTCAGTATTTTGCAAAACCCATCCTTGTTTCTATAAAGTATATAATTTTAAATAAGCAGTAAAAATAATAAAAAAAATTTAGTCCATACCTGTATATGTTTTAGGACTTTAAGTAAAAGGATTTATTAAAAAAAATGCAAAAGGTTTCTCAGTTTGCAGTTTAAAGAATACAAACTGTCTAAATAGACATTTAATCATTTCAAATCTTTAAAATTTTATTACTGAATTTCAATACACACATAATATGTATATAAATCAAACCTAGTGCTATTTATTCAATTGGTAAATATAAACATAAATTACAAACCTTTTTTTAAAACCTTATGTGGCCAGAAAAATTGCAAAAACTCATAAAACGCAAGCAGAATTTTTCTTTACCTGTTTTTGTTTTGTAAAACACGTTCAAAACAATTTAGTACATTAATTAATTATAATATTGTTGCGTGCGTACGGGTTTGTAATAGATTGATAATAATAGTTCGTAAATGATTGTCATTGCACTCAAATCCGATGATAGCTTAATTAAATTTATTTTATCAACAGAAACACTTCAAAGTTCTGGAATTTTCCACAGAAATACTCGTACAAGTGTTTAGAATATCACTAAGTATAATCAGTAGTTATGCTTCAATCTAATAAGAACGTTAAACACAACGGAATGCAAAACGCATCTTAAGAGAAAGTTAACTCAGAAATATCTCCAATCTCATGCTGAACTAACAACTGGCAACAATAACAACTTATATAGCATAAATAATGTCATAAAAATAGTGTGGTATAATGAGATTATTACTTTGAAACCGATGTTTCGAATTGATGCCCAAGAAGAACCAATATTTTCCATTCTGCTTCATTGCATATCTTTCAAAAAAGTAAAAAAAAAATCATCCAATTAATTTCCTTTATCATTTTTTTTAAATGCGAAAAGTTTGTTTTATAAGCTGTGAAAATGTCGGAAGTTTGTAACCGATATATTTTTAGATATGAAATTTTAAAATTAATGGGCGTCAAAAAGTCTAAAGATATGAACGATTTTCAAAAATTCTCCCAAAATATTTTTTTAAAAAACTACGCTAAAAATTTCATTTAATTTTTTTTTTCCTCCACAGTGTGTTATGGTGCAAACTATAATATTCTGAGATTCTCAGTTTATTTGTTAATATTTGCAAAAAATCGTTTCAACTTTAAATTTGAAAAAAATCTAATCCTCTAAAAATCAAAAGCGTGACACCACATCCACAAGCAGTGTATGTACAAAGTTTGAGTTCTATATCTTATCGGGAAGCAGTTTAAAAATCCATTACCATCTTTTAACCATAGCGACAAGCACCAAGAGTGAACTAAATAACAGCTTATAAAATAATAATAATAATAATTAAAAAGCATATATTTTTCAGGAACCATTACGAAAGTTCAGGTACCAGTTGCGAAAGTACAAATTACAAAATTAACAACAGTAAACAACGTTAAAAATGTGTAAACAGTATTAGAAATCTGCAAATTCGGAGACGTGATTGTTCACAGAGGCTTAGGTGTAAAGGGGAAGGGACACGGTGGTCTTCTGAACGGGTCCTAAAGACAAAACTCTTTCATGTCTCCTTTTTCTCCTCTTGCTAACGGCAGCTATGCGAAGGAGCGTTGCATGTGAACGGGGCTTAAGCCGTATCAAAAAGCTCCCGAAATTGCTGTTTTGACGGAAAAAAATGTATTACTTTTGTGGCAGTCTTATGTTCGACTTAGAGGACCGCCAGATGACGTCATGTTGTTTTCGTAATAACTGCCAACGCAAGGGGCGTAGTTACAGTTTGCAGCGCCCGGGAAAAACTGGAGAATTTGCGCCCCTTTCTGTGTGCCAAGAATGGGAAACATTTCATTAAAAAATTTCGTAGCATCAATTTGGCATCCCTTGAATACTGCACCCGGAAACAGATGTCCCCCCTTGCCCTACCCTAGCTACGCCACTGGCCAGCGCGATCAGCGAACTCGCACACATTGCCCTTAGCTCGAGTACAAGGATGTTCAAATATTTGTGTAGAAATTTTCTGTTTTAATAAATAGTTGTGTTAACGTATAGTTTTGTTAATGAATAGGTGTGTTAATAAAGTTCTGTTTTAGCAATATGGAGTCAGGTCTTTGTATAATGTTCACCGAACCATAACCCACACACAATAAACTGGCGACCCGTCTAGACGCATATAGCTTCAGGAGCTTGGTTCCAGGACTTTCGTGTTCTTCACTGCAGATCGTTGCCATAGAGGAAACAGCAGCCGTGAAGATACCAGTTTACAATCCTATTGACCCGGCATTGTGGTTTGCTATGTGCGAATCGACTTTTGCTTTAGCTGCACCCAAGCCTGTTACTGATCCCAAGACTAAATTTAACTATTGCGTTGCGCATTTGCCGCCGGAAATTGCCTCTTTGGTTCGAGATATCATACTTCGAGAACGCACAGATTATTCTTACGAAGACCTGAAAGCTGCCATTACGGATCGCTGTGGGGAAAGCAGTACCAAGGAAATCTGGAAATTACTCGCAGGGAAGCAACTTGGAGACAGACAACCATCTGAATTGCTTCGTGTCATGAAAAGGTGTGCTGAAAAACACGATATAGCTGACTAATTGTTACTAGAGTTATTAATTCAACAAATGCAGCCAAATGTTCAGTCTATCCTAGCGTCGGTTGAGCCGCTCGATTCTTCGAAAACTGCCAGCATTGCCGATAGAATATTAGAAGTTACATCCGCTCAGGTAAGCGCAGTTTCTTTACATGTATCTCATTGTATCTAATAATTCTAAATTGGATACCCTACTGGATGAGGTCTTCAAATTGCGTGGTGAGATTTTGTCTCTACGACGATCACGCAGTGTTTCCAAAAGCAGCTATAACAGAAAGCGAAGCCCTTCAGCTAAAGCTGCTTCGAATTGTTCCTATTGCTGGTATCATCGCAAATTTAATAAGAAAGCCAAATGTGTGTTCCACCATGTGCGTTCCACGGAAACGAGTCAGGGAAAGTTTAATTGCGACTTGCGCTTTACCCTTTGAGTCTCATCGCCTTTTTATTAGAGACAGGAAGTCAAATAAAATACTTTTATACGACACTGGCTCAGATGTCAGTCTACTCTCAGCAACCAAAGATGAAGCGCGTCAGATACCTATTATGACGTTTTCTGCTGCCAAAAGTACTCCTATTCCGGTTTACGGTCAAAAGTCTCTAAGAAGTGACCTCGGACTTCGTCGCAGTTTTAACTTTACTTTTTATGCGAGTAAAGTGTCAACAAATATTATTCGATCTGATTTTTTGCATTACTTTGATTTATTATCTGATTTAAGGAGCAAAAAGCTTGTTGATTTAAAAACGCATTTAAAAGTTAATTGTAGTGTAATTAAC